GGATGGAAGTCGCCCGCGGGCCACCAGTTGAACAGGCCTTACATAAGGTGTAGGACAGCATATGCAGCTAGAAAAGCTCCAGGTGTAATGCAGGTGTCAAACTATTTATACCTGTAGGGTTTATTGGAGTTAAAGATTACAACTSAGAATGACGCTATGTTCATTTGATGTGATTATTCTCTCTGAGAGGAAAACTAGATCCAACCATGCCAACAGAATCCCCATAAAAAGGAAATCAGAGGCAACTTCTACACTGTAACAACATTCATGGTTTTCTGTTTTTACTCATCTGTAAGCGATCATTCATTAAGTCTGGCCACTAACAAGAAAGGGAAAAAAAATTACAAGGACAGTTTTATGTATGCAAACTGTTAAATATAATTAAGGATACAGAGTCTGCCAAATTGCTCATTTTCTGTATGCTAATCAGCGCCGTAAAGAGGCAGGGCCAATGGCACGTCTTTGTCTTTTATATTTCTATTAAAACGGAGCTGGCTGAGTTCCCCCAGCAGCCCGTCAGAATAAGTTTCCCCCTCAGGCTTTAGCTGCAGAGCAGAGCCAGTCAGCGACAAGATGACACCTCTCTGATCGCCATGTCGGAGAGTGTGAGAGGCACTGTCTCATTACTTGTTTAATGCTCCTGCCAGAGCCGCACAGCCACATCCTGGAGGTGTGAAATTACATTTCAAGCCAAGATGCTCTGCACCAGGACAGTTTGGTGAGGAGCAGGTAATGAAAGGCCCCACCCTCCCCCCCACAGCAACACCTCGCTCTGCCTCRTTCTCTTTCTTCCACTGCCATCTTCTCTCTGTTCTGGATCTCCAGACGCTGAGCTGCGTGAACCCCGACAATGAGAACAGCCCAGAGATCCCTGTCAAGGTGCTCAACTGTGACACCATTACCCAGGTGAAAGAGAAGATCCTGGATGCCGTGTACAAGAACATGCCGTGCTCACAGCGACCACGAGCCACAGACATGGACCTGGGTGAGCATGCAACAAAGTTTTTTTTATGAAAGGCTTAGCATTTCTTAAACAAATGCATATCCACTGCCAACTTTTACGTTAAAGTTTTAATCTGGGATGATCTTATAAATAAAACTGAAGTAGTTTTGGTCAAACCTTGAAAATAATGTACAAACTTGTGATAATGGGAGTTATAGACTATGGGGCACCAAGTGTACAATTTAAATGTTAAGAAATTTCACTAACATTTTATTATTTAGCTCACTTTTTGTACATTTAGCTAATTTTTACTAAATGTTAAATTTAAATGTTAAAGAATATTTTTAAATATTAAATCCTAAATCTAAATGTTTAAATCTAAATCTAAAAGTTAAACCTTAAATGTTGAAGTTTACATTTAGATATTTTAGAATGGAACGCAGTCTTTGCTGTCAGTGCTCGGCTCATGTTATGACGTCATCATCCTGAGACAATATCATACATGTCAAGTTGTACGGATTGTCCTTAAATACACAGATTTTCCATCATTTTGGAGGTATACGGACATATAGACCAATCTCACAGATATTTTTCATGTTTTACGGATTTTTCAAGAACGCTTCTATCAAAAAGTGTTAGCAGCGTTAGCAGAAGTTAGCGCCAGATAACCAGGAACATTTCATTTTACACTTGGCGCCCGATAATAGACTGCATCTCAAYTCATGGGTTGAAGCCGACATGGGGCGCATTTATCAGCTGCTTACATCACTACCTCGCACCRTAGGCTGTCCCAATTCTTAGGCRCCTACTCATGCGGCCGACAAAACCCCAAAATCATAGGCTGCATTTAAATATCCTACGCAGCCGACGGTATCCCAGAATTCATCGTGCCGTCAGCAAATTAAACAGAAAAACAATGACAGTGGAGTTTTTTTTATTTGATTTTTTTTTAAGTTTACGGCAGAGTTTTTAAGATTTATGTATTTATTTTTCACAGCATAGTTTGGAAATTTATCATGTAACGAAAAACGTAGGTTTTTGCAACTTAGCTGAAGAAAGTTTTGTTGCAATGAGATGTTAAATGAAATGCAGTTACAAGTATTCTTATACTGGAGCTAAACTATAATTATTAAAGCTTTTTATTTATTTATTTGTGACGTTTTTCTATTAAAACTGAATTTTACTAAGTTACACCTTGAAAAAAAACCCACTGATGCGTGGTAACGAGGCAGCATGTGGTCACACAAACATACGTCTTCTGTAGAGTAGACCGTCTCATTTCACAGCCGTTTTTGCGTAGACTGTGGCCAACWTCGGCCGCGGTCTACGTCGGTTGCAAACCGATAAATTGAGACACAGCCATAGATGCACATCTAATGAAGACTTAAGTCTCTTTGAATAGCAGCCATATTGAATTAGGTTAACTGCAAATGTTATAAAAGCATTTCCAATTATTATTTCTGCAAGTTTCAATACATTTTGTCCAGGGGTTCACAAAATATCTCAGTGACAGACTCACCAACTCACACAGGCACAGTAACTGTCTCGGTTATTCTACTCTAGGATTAAAATAAACCAATGAGCGAAAAATCCTCYGTCACACACGACCTGTTTGAATAATGACAAGTGGGAGAAAGTTTCCTCACAGTGGCCGTGTTAATACAAATAAGTCAGGATGTCTGACATCCACACAGGGTCTGTTTCCGTCTCCCTCCCCTCTTCCTGTTTGCAGCTGGAGAAACAGTAACACCCCAGGTTTAAATGACATTAAACCTTYCTGACAGAACACCTCCTCTCAGGCTTACGCCCACCACATGTCAGTGAATACGGAATGATGCGGCACAAATTCAGGTGGCGTGCACCTTCAGAGGGAGGAAATAAGACACTGTGATGGTTGTGGCTGATAGTGCTTTGGCCTTGYACTTTTACGCCTTAAAGGGCTTTTTACAGGTTAGGCGTTTGGCGAAGATGTGTTCTGCTGCTTTGGATAGCTTTAGGCAATATAACTGTCATTTTTATGTGCTTCACAGAATAGCAATCTGTAATTGTCAAGGACAAGAAGCAGTCTTGGTGACATTTTGGCTGCTACGCTTGACAACTTGCTGCTTTTTTAGAGAATAAACATAAYACACAAGGGTAACATAACCTCCAGTGGAGTGCAAACAAACAGACCATTCCAGACATGAGAAAATATGTCAGGCACGTGGGATATAAACATTACACACCTAAAAGTATCACCAATTCACAAGCAAGCCTTTTTTATTTATTTTTTCCACAGAGTGGCGACAAGGCAGAACAGCGCGAGTGGTCCTGCAGGATGAGGACATCACAACAAAGATAGAAGGCGACTGGAAGAGACTCAACACTCTCATGCACTACCAGGTGATAAATACAGTTCAAACACAAGTATTTGTTTGAATGCTGATTCAGCGTTCATGCTGTTTCTCTTTATTCTTTGTCTTTTCTTTTGCACTTTTTAAGGCWAGCATTTTGCTACTTTAAGCTAATGTTTTAGTACATCCACCATTTTTCATGTTTACCTTTCTGTGTTTTTGGAGGTTATTTTTAGCTTTAACAACTCAGTTTAGTTTCTCAACAGTTTTCTTCTATATAGTCATTATAAGTAAATTTTACTAAATATTCTTCTAATGACTCAGTCAGTTCATAAA